TATTTTGTATATTTTTTACATACTTATAAAGCTTTTCTGCTTAGAATAGTTTAAGGTTATATACACAAAAAATGTAAAAATATAACATTTTTAATACATAATTAGTATAAAATATCTTAGATATACATCTCACAAGGAAAGGGTCGGAAGTGTCCCCCTCCGATTTTAATGAGCTTTGAATATGTTGTAGTCTAGATCAAAATAGGAGACACGTATTTTTTTATAAGTGCTGAGTCGGCCGTTAAGGGGGTGAAACACCTTCTTGAAAAAAATCGATTTTTTCATTTCTCAGCGGATACCGTCGAAGCGATAAGAGATATAAACAAAAGTTTCAAATAAAAGTTTTATGGTCTTTAATGTACTTCAAAATCATGTAATCAGATTTGTCGAAAATGTCATATTTTTCGAAATCCCCCCCCCTCCCTTTTAATGTTTGAAAATTTTTAAATTTGTCTCATAACAAAACTTATAGCTCATTTAACGACAAATTCAATCATATATAATAAAGTTGTATTCCGAAGTCATTATATATATGTATATGGAAATATTACATAAAATACCGTACATAATTATTGCATACAAGAATAACAAATATTCATGGTTGATATCGGTTACAAAGATGATGATCATGAAAGAAATGATTTATACAAAGGGATTTTTTACACCATGCGCAAGAAATTACAGCAATTTCACCGCAAATATCACATGTTGGTTTTAAATTAGTTTTGAAACAAAAATCTACTGGTGTATCAAATTCTTCTGGTTTCTTTTCTAAATAACCACTTTTATACCATGCATATTTGAATAAATTTTTAAACCTTGGTGATGAAAATTGATTATGTGTTAATGATTGTAATTTTAAAATATTGTTTCTTGAATGAAGCTTGACGTCAAGATCTAAAAGCATGATGGTATCTGAAAAATGTCTAACAAAATTTTTCCATAAACGAAAACCGAATACATCTAAAGGTTGTATTTTTCCCGTTGCTCCAGCTGGTATAGTTAACAAATTAATATTGTCTATAAAATCTGGTTTGTTTCTTTGAATTATATCAGGACAATGACCAGTCCAAGAATCTAATAATAACACTGATTTTGGTCCAACATTTGGAAAAAACACTTCTTTTATCCAGATCTCAAAATGATGCGATGTTAATTTTCCAGATTTTGATGCCATGACAAAGATATTATTATCTTTAAACATTGTTTCTTTTACTATTGGACCAAATGTTCCAGTAGGTTCTTTTAAAACAATAAACAGAGGCGATAATAATCTACCATCAGCTGAAACAATAGGTTGTATAGTATAACTATGTGTAGTTGCTGATATGGATTGTACTATGCGCTCTACTTTTTTAATACCAATAGGTGATAGTGAACGACCGGAATGAAATTCTAATTGAAATCCACTTTGGTCCGAATTATATACATTTTCAATTCCATATTGTATAATAGAAGATTTAACATTTTCGATAAATGACTTGCTTCGTGCTTCTAAATCTTTGTCTGACGCTAAATTTTTTTTTGTTATAAATTTTGTAATTTTTCTAGATACGATATTATGTGCAAGCTTAAACCTTTTTACCCATGATAATGATGCTGTAAACCCAAGTAGATTTACTTCCTTCTGTGCGCGAAGAGCCCATCGAGCAATATCAATGTCATGAATAATTATTCCCTTTTCAATACCTTCATGGAATTTATTTAACGTATATGTTGAAATTTCTTTCAGTTTATCAAATCTGTTGCCACCTTGATTTACTTGCTGCTCCCATCTTCTTAATTGACGTAATGACGTGACTTTCCGAAATCTATTTCTTATAGATGCAAGAGTTCTTGACTTTTTTGTTCCACTTCTCCATAACTCTACTGCATTTCTTTTATATTCTATTGGTACAGAATCCGCAACACATTCAATTTCTTTTACAAAATATGTGTCTTCTTCTCTTTCTTCATCAATTACAGGTTCTACTTCAGGTATATCAAATTCGTTTTGAAAATCTAATGATGATTCTTCATAAACTTCAAACGCTTCTTCATACATTGATCGAAGCATATTTTCCATCATGTCTTTTGTTTCATTTTCATCTGTTGTAACAGGACTTTCTGGGAATTCCCCAGTCATATACAGTGCAGTGTATAGCAGTACTGCTACATTTCTTGGATTAAACATTATCTAAAAAAATTATTAACATTATGTATATTTGTTTTATAAATATTAGCAAAAAAATACTTATTAGCAACAAAAATATTTTATTATTTAATGCGTATTAATAATTTGTTACGTTTTCCGAGTTTCATGAAAAATAGAACAGTTTTATCACATAACTTAAATAAAGTAATAAAATATTAATTATAATTTAAATACATTAAAACAAAACAGATAAACCGCAATTTTGAATGAAGTGTAAGTAAAAGCAAAAAACTATAAAAGTTTTAAAAATCGAAAAAGTACATACATACTGTATTGTTGTGTGCGTGGGGCACAATTGTTTTTTCAGGATAACGGCTAGTCTTGTTAATTAACTCGAGCACTTGTTAATTATTTGATAACTGATTTGTGACTGTCCGCCGCTTCTAGGCGGTGGCTTTTAACGCCTCCGGTTCTGAACGATTATCGGAGGAGGATCGCGCGGTGGCATGACCAAATAAAATCATTGGTTATTTCTAAAGTGGCGTGATCAAAATGCAAGCGAAGGAAGTCCGAAGACTTCCTCGCATTTTATTGCAATTCAGCGCTATTTCGAGAGTGATTTCTTCCTCTGTTTGATGACTTGGCCGTGTGATACTGGCTGTATCAGCACTTCGGGCAGCTGACTTTCTTATCGCGACGCATTTTTTCGCTCGCTTTATAAGTTATAATCCTTTTAATTATTTTCTTATATATATAAATATATTTACTATCGCGCTCGCGTATATTCGATAGACGCTTTAATAGTAATATGTGTTCCACTGCACGCAGTTGTTAATAAAATAATATATTGCACCAACTCATTTCGCGAATGCGACATCTGTTTATTCATAGAATTGAATCTATTAACATCGGCATCTGATCAATAATTTTCCTTGTCCGACTAGTTTTATTTTTCATGCATTAAAAACATTACTTTTCCATATAAATTATATGTATATTTATTGTCACATAATATAGACATATATTATAATTATAATTATTATATAATTTATAATTATATTTATAAATATAATTTCTATAATTTATAAAAATATATTCTCATAAATTATTTATTGCTAATTTATGGTTGCCTCTGTGAGTTTGCGAAGAAAAATGACTGTCGCTGTGAATAACGAGCGTCATAAGGCGGATAAAGCGGGCGTATAGTAGTGTATAGGGATATTTTTAATTTATTTCTGAAAAATGTGACTTCGGAATACAACTTTATTATATATGATTGAATTTGTCGTTAAATGAGCTATAAGTTTTGTTATGAGACAAATTTAAAAATTTTCAAACATTAAAAGGGAGGGGGGGGATTTCGAAAAATATGACATTTTCGACAAATCTGATTACATGATTTTGAAGTACATTAAAGACCATAAAACTTTTATTTGAAACTTTTGTTTATATCTCTTATCGCTTCGACGGTATCCGCTGAGAAATGAAAAAATCGATTTTTTTCAAGAAGGTGTTTCACCCCCTTAACGGCCGACTCAGCACTTATAAAAAAATACGTGTCTCCTATTTTGATCTAGACTACAACATATTCAAAGCTCATTAAAATCGGAGGGGGACACTTCCGACCCTTTCCTTGTTAGATCTGACGATGATTTCATACAAAAGATAGACGATAATTATCATAAGCCAAATATAACGTGCAGTCTCTTAAATATTCCTCAATTCAAACCTGTAACAAATGTGCCTTTGGACTATATGCATTTGGTGTGCTTAGGAATTATGCGCAAATTGTTAAACTTATGGCTTCATGGAGAACTGCAATATCGATTACAATACAAAGCCGTGAACGATATTTCTACACGTTTAATAAGCCAATTAAAACCATCAATACCTGTTGAATTTGCACGAAAACCACGAAGATTAGATTGTGTGAAATTGTGGAAAGCTACAGAATATAGACAAATATTACTTTATACAGGACCAATAGCATTTAAATCTATATTAAAAAAAGATGTATATATACATTTTATGACATTACATGTTGTTATAAGGATTTTGTCCTCGGAGAAGTTACACGAACACCTTAGCTATGCACAAGAGCTTATTTATTTCTTTGTTAAAACATTTGTAAAATTGTACGGAGCGCAAAACGTATCACATAATGTGCATAGTCTTATTCATCTTGTTGATGACGTCAAAATATATGGACCTCTAGACAACTTCAGTGCCTTTCAATTTGAAAATTACATGCAGATACTTAAAAAGTATATTCGAAAATCAGAAAAACCTTTACAACAAGTTGTACGAAGATTCATTGAAAAAGAAAAGAGCTTATTTACCTCAACTACTAGGCCACATTATGGGCCACAACATTATAATTTAATGTCCTTACATTATGATGGTCCTATTATTCCGAATTGCCACAATCCACAATATAAAGTTGTCAAGTTCAACGGAATGACATTCAAAGCTGACACACTTTCCGATAGCTGTTGTGGTTTAAGTTGTGGTGCAATTGTCTGTATAAAAAATGTAGTTTACTGCGCAAAACGAAATATTCCTGTCATTATTGGTCAAGAATTCATGGAAAAGGAAGATGTCTTTAATGTTCCGTGTTTATCTTCGTTACTGGATATCTATTCTGTTCATACTTTATCTGACTTAAAGGCATGGCCGTTGAAAACCATAGTTAAAAAATATGTTAAATTGCCATATGAAAATGACAAGTTTGCCGTTTTTCCGCTTCTACATTCCGATATTTAATTTTTGCATCTATTTTCGCACAGAATGGACAATAAAAAGAAATATGCTATTGTTGAGTTCAAAGATGGTCTGCAAATCGTACCCGCTACTTGGTTAAGTAGTGATTTACGAAAATGAAAATGGCCCAGACATTATATCAGTAACGACAGATATGACAAAGCGGTTAAATTGATGGAAGTACCTGATTGTACATGGGAGGAGCATACTGTCCTGAAAATATATGCGACATCTTGTAAGTAATTTAATTATTTAAAGTTTTTGTAATATATTTATTTTCTATAAATACGATATTGATACTTTTATTTGCTTTTATAGAAAAACAATGGTGCTTATATTATGTTTATTTCATATATTATTTTTTCAGCAAACTATGCTGTGGCTCGACAAAAATTGAAATTAGCTGAAGAAATGTCCGACATCAATTCTTGTACCGACGAGGATAGACAGAAACTTTGTAAAAAATCCCGCAAAATTAGAGCGGCTAAGATGCATGATTCCAGTTCATATGAGTATACTAACGATGAAAGCGATTCTGAGCAAGCCATTCTCTCAGATCTTCCCAAACCTCCAATCAAAAACGTCTATAAGGAGACGTCCACAAAAACAACTCGAGTATGTAAAAATAATACAATAAAGTATTCTAAAATTGCCGACACAAAACTGGAACAAGAAAGTACTGCATCTTACAATTTTAACAACATTGAAGAAGTTGATTTTCGTAAGTAATTTTTATCTAAATATGTATACATGATAGTTTTTACAACAGCAATACGATTATAATAAAATTATAATATTCAATGCTCTATTTTATTTTGATTAGATAAAGATTTTATATCAAGAATCATTTTAACCTTGTAATAAAAAACATTATGTATTACATTAAATTCTGTATTATATCATGTTTAATATCGCACATTAAAACATATAGAATAATGCAAAAACAAAATTTTATTGGAATATTAATAGTTATATACTTTTTTCTTTTTTACTTTTAGCTTCACAAAGCAGTTTCGCAATTTCGGAGTATTCTGATTATGAAAATGTAGTCCGACGCAGTCCAAATTTGGATTTAAATTCCAGCCAAGGTTTGTATGGAAATGATTTCTATATACCTTCTATTTTATGTACATTACTAATTTACATTTTATATTCTCGAATATCTAATATATACATATATAATGACTGCGTGCGTGTGTGTGTGTACGTTTATATTTCTGCATGCGTATTTATATTTTCTTGTGTTCATGTACAAAGTTTTTAAAAATTGCACTTTATTATCTAATTTTTAAAGGAAACTATTTTTTACAAATTGCATTAATATTGCATATTTTACTTAATATTTTAACACACAATTTTAATTTTTTATGATTTATATGTTTTGTTTTACCATTTTCAGATTCACAGTGTATTGTTAATGTAAATCCTGAACCTGAACGACGGCGCGATATAAATAAATGTGTATTCCCACGTTGTGATAATCATGAGCCTGAACGACGGCATGCGCGCGGCGATGTAAAGAAATGTGTAATTCCGCGTTGTGATACAAGTCTTCCAAGTTTGAATTTAAATTCTAAGCGAGGTTAGTAATCTCCGTTTTGTCTTTAATTATTTAATGTGTCTTTAATTATTGTATGTGTGTAAATGTTTATTTATTTAGATTATATATACATGTATATATGTTTATGTATGTATACCGTCCGTCAATGATTTGCGTTGGATTTGTTATTTCTCTCTTATTCTGTTTCGTACCTCAGCGCCGGTATAGGCAGAGTAAGAGAGACATAACAACAGCACGAGTCATTGACGGGCAGTGTAGAACAAATAGTAAGAAATTTTGTCTTCTATATTATTCATGTTTTTTAGAAATTATTGAACTATTGTAAGAGGCAATGCGTCGCAATCATTCCATTATCAATTATGAAGTAGTGACATTTTTAAACTCAGAGTAAATAGAAACAGGAGGGAAAATATCGATAGTTGAGGCAGGATTTTGACGAACGGAACTACGTCATGGCAGCCATCTTGAGCGTCACTTTGCATCAAACATGATCGGCTCCTGTTTCAGACAATAAATCAACGCTTGAGTAGCTATCTTGAGCATCACTTTATACATTGTATATAGTCACTTCCATCCGCCTGCTTAGTACTATATGTTCCCTCCTGTTTCTATTCTCATTCTGAGCTTCTAATTGGCTCTCGCAATTGCTTCACGACTGGTGTCGAGATATTTACATTGCATTATAGAACGCCCTTAAATGTAAATAAATTGGTTTAAATTGTTTGGAAACAATGATAGCATTATTTAATCAGTTTCAGGACAGTGCGCGGAAACTTCGATAGACATTACTGAACGTCTTCATGATGAAAATGTCCCCCCCAACAGACATATGTTAAATACTTCGATAGACATCACTGAACGTCTTCATAATGAAAATGTCCTGCCCAACAGACATATGTCAAATTATACTGAGGGTTAGTATGCAACTGTATAATTTTTTTAATCTTAAAAGTTTCAAATACACTCCAAAATTTCAATATCGACGCTTTCAAAGAAAATCAGCAATTCCATTACATATTTTACTATTTCAAAAACATTTATTTTAAAACAATTTTATTTTTAAAATTTTGCGATCTTTTTGTATTTTTAACATATAATTCGTAAAAGTATATAGGCATGTATGTATGTACTCATACACTGGTTTAAGTTACGCGAGATTTGCTAAAAAATAAATAAATCTAAATAAATCTAAATAAATCTTACGAAAAACGTTTTAAAAATTACTAAAAATTGTAAGGTTTACGAGATCATTTTATTAAATTTATGAGATTATTTTATTTCATTTTAATATATTGTGATATGAAAACTAAAATATTTATGAAACTACGTTTATACATATATATATACTAATTTTTTAATAATCATACTTTAATACTTTTATGTACATATTAATATATATATATATATATATATATATATATATACATGCATAAATGTAATTTAAATGTGTTGTAGGATTTGATTTTGAACGCTACATAATTAAAAAATTCCAACATCTGGAATTAAAAATGAGCAATAACCTGAAACTAACCCAAAAAATTTTAGAAAAGGTTTCTAATACCGCACAGATTGCAGAAGAAGCACAGGAAAAAATTGATATTTTTCAACATTTACCACTAAGAGACGAAAATGATTTAGAAATTATGGAACGAAAATTGACGAATGACATTGTATACCGAAATGAAATGGTAATTATAATTCAATATTAGAAAATATTTGTTTAAGAGAATTATTGAAGAGGATAACAGTTAATGATTGCTTTAAAAATTGAAAATTAAAAGTGTGTGATATAACTTCTTTAATTAGGATGCCTAAGTGACATCCAAGAAGTGTTGTTTAAAAAGCTATACTTTTAAAAACTCACGTTTGAAAGAGGTATTAATAATATTTTCTATTTATTACAGATCAAACAGTTAACACGATTGACAGCGCGGGATATTAAAAATTCATGTTTAAATTTATTGAGACAAATAGTCTCAAACAAAGTTGCTGTATTATATAGTTGGCATGGTGCCAAAAAAAAAAAGAATTTTTCCCAGCTGAACTTGTGTCAAGTAATATTAAGTAAGTAAACTATTAAGGGTGAATACGCAGTCAGGCGGCGCAAAAACAGGATTTTTCTCAAATTTTTTAAAAGGAAACTAATAAAGTTTTTTATTTACAAACTCTTTTGCATAATATTAATCAACAATTTAAGAATATTTCGTAATTTTTTAATTAATATTTTTTAATTAAAAAATAATAATTATAATTGTTGTGACTATTTTAATATGGCTCCTCAAAAAATTCCGGTGGACACACTGTAACTCGAGGCGGTGGACACACTGTAACTCGAGGCAGGATCATCTGAAATAAAAAACCCAAAAACATTTCGTTAGTAGATGACTTTGCCTTCCGTGTGAACGAAGAATTTTTTTTGATGATTAGAACTTGTTTTAAAAAATAAAATCGGTCGATTTTTTAAGCAAAAATCGTGACTTAAAAGTTCTCTAAACTTAAAAGTTCTCTAAAAAATTCAAAATTTAATTTTTTTCAAAATCCTTCGTTCACATGAAAGACAAAGTCTTCTACTAACGAAATCTTTTTGGGTTTTTGGTTTCAGATGATCCTGCCTCGAGTTACAGTGTCCATCGGAATGCCACTTTTTTTAGGAGCCATATCAAAATAGTCACAACAATTATAATTATTATTATTTCTTAATGAAAAAATTACAAAATGTTCTTAAATGTTGATTAATATCATGCAAAAGTTTGTAAATAAAAAACTATTCGTTTTCTTTTAAAAAATTCGAGAAAGACCCTCTGTTTTCGCACTGCCTGACTGCGTATTCCCCCTTAAGGAACAATTTTTTTCTTCCTAACATTATTAAGGCTTTTGAATATTTTGATAAAACTAAAAATTACTTTTGATACACTTGTAATACATTATATTTTAATTTTCTGAAAAATGTTAAAAATGTTTGAAATTGTAATAGTCATATTAATATTTTTCAATTATATCCATCATAATTACATACGAGTCTTAGAAACAAAATTAAAAAGAAGAAATTTCATTTTATTCTATTTTATTTAAATTACATTTTGCAAATGTGTTAGAGATGCCTTTTATTCAAATAAAAAAGAAGTTGAAATAATTAATTTCAAAAAACATATTTCCTTCTGTTTTAGCTATTGTAAGAAACGCGCATGAAGCAGCAAAGGATGAGCACATATCTAATACAATAAAAGTATGGTTAGCTCACGCTAAAGAGCGTATTGATAGAGAGAAAGAAAAAAAAAGAAAAATTCAGAGGGATCGAAACGATCTTCCGGAAGAACTAGAAGAGCCCTCTGACTGAATGTGATAATTATCTTGTCAACGTATTTAAATAAGACACGTTAGCGCAAGAGCCAAAGATTACAATTAAGAATTTTGCTTTTTTCAAATTTTGTTCGAGTTATAATGAAAATCTTTATTTTGAGAGAGTTTACGATATATAGAGAATTTACTTTTTCTTTTATTTATAAATGTTATATATATATATATATACATAACATATATGTAATGAAGAATAATGTGTTCATAATGTATATGACACATATTTTGAAGTAACGTTTTTGCAATAAAAACATCAATAAAAAATCAAAATTGACATTAATAATCTAATCCTAACCTAACCTAATCCTAACCTATCCTGTTCAATGCGTGAGCACGCGCGCACTTGGCGGTATATATGTGTGCGTGTATAAATGATCTACTGCAATCTTCCCATTTTCATCATTTTCTGAAACTATCCTCCAACTATAGACATTCGCGGAGAAATACTATGGGAGATGCTACCCCGGACATTAGATCATTCGCAGAACGTACTGCGTCAATCGCAGTACGTTTGAGATTGTTCTGAGAATATACACAATATACTTTTGCGATATTCTTAGAACATTCTCAGAATCTACTTGTGCTGTTAGGGTATGTATATATACTTATATACAGGGTGTCAATTAAGTCCCGGGACGGCTGAATATTTTCTCATGTAAGGTATTTTTTAAAAAGGTCAAGGTCATTTCTGAAGTAATTTTCAACGAGGAATTCAACGGTGACCTTCAATTTGACCTTGAGCTTGACCTTCAAGGTTATTTGAAGGTCAAAGTGTTTTTTTTTAATAGGAACCCCTATTTTTGATTGTATATTCTTATAGCTGACCTCGAGAGCTTTCCAAAACACTATAATAAAATATTTTTCCCTCAAGCATTTATCGAGTTATGATGCTTCAAATCATTTCTTAATTTTACATAAACCGTAAAATATCTTGTAAAATATTCACTTTTCGATTATTTTACCTTAATACTTTTATGTACAAAATAATGAGAGGAATCAATTGGTTTAAAGAAAACATACAGTTGTTTTTAAGAAAAAATATGGAATTGTTAATTGCAAATTACATATTTTTTTTTAAAAACAACTATATGTTTTCTTTACGCCAATTGATTCCTCTCATTATTTTGTACATAAAAGTATTAAGGTAAAATAATCGAAAAGTGAATATTTTACAAGATATTTTACGGTTTATGTAAAATTAAGAAATGATTTGAAGCATCATAACTCGATAAATGCTTGAGGGAAAAATATTTTATTATAGTGTTTTGGAAAGCTCTCGAGGTCAGCTATAAGAATATACAATCAAAAATAGGGGTTCCTATTAAAAAAAAACACTTTGACCTTCAAATAACCTTGAAGGTCAAGCTCAAGGTCAAATTGAAGGTCACCGTTGAATTCCTCGTTGAAAATTACTTCAGAAATGACCTTGACCTTTTTAAAAAATACCTTACATGAGAAAATATTCAGCCGTCCCGGGACTTAATTGACACCCTGTATATGTATATGTACCAATAAAATATGACATATATGTATACTATACACATATATATATATATATATATATATATATATATATATATATATTTATATATACACACATACATTTTCCTTATTTTTTTCTATCTTTAAACAAATTAAATATTTTATTTCGTTATTTTTCTCACAGATTATTATTTTTATTTTCAGGAAAGATCAGAAAGCAGCAGACGGTGCTGCTGCTGCTGCTGCTGCTGATGATGATTATTATGATGATGCTGATGAAATAAGTGATAAATAATAAAGTGATCAGTATTTTAAAAGCATGCAATATAAAAAGTGCAATATAAGAAAAGATATATATATATATATATATATATATATATATATATATTAAAAATTATAATTTATAAAATTATAATTATATATTACGTTTTTTTATATAAATAATTCTCTATATAAATAATTTTCTATATAAATAATTTTCTATTAAATATGAGTAAATATACATAATATATATAATAAAAATAAAGTGATTTATTAAAAGTATTTGTGTTTTATTTCAACAATAATAATTAATATCATACGTTCTTGCGACATTTCTGCAATGTTTCTAATAAAATTAAAAAGAACATTACAGCAACCTAACAGAAATTAAAAAGAAACATTACAGTAACCTAACTGAAAGCTTCCAAAACATATTTCTGTAATATTTCAGAAACGTTCTTGCGGATAAAAGCGGACATTTTGACGTTGCTGCAACCTTACAGAAACATTGCAGAGACATTACGTAACGTAACTGCAACAGTTTCAACATTTCAGTGTTATGTTTCTGCAACATTGCAGACACTTTTCTGTGCTATCAGGGAATATATGCATATACAATCTTAATAGTTTTTAAAAAATTGGAAATTTAATAAGTAATCTTTATTATTTTTGTTCTTATTTACAATATAGTGCTTCAGTATTTTAAAGAAATTATATCCGTCAGCAATCATACTTCAGGACACAATTATGGCAAATAGCAGATGATTTAAGAGACATGAAAAATGAACTGATGCAACAAATCCGTCAACGGCCAAATGGCAATAATCAAAGAGAAGAGTCTATTTTTTCTTTTCTCCATCTTCCTTTTAATTCTATCGAAGATTTAGAAGAGCATGTTGAGCAATTTTTAAACCAACCAAATAATTTCGAAACATCAGTAATAATACTTCGTTAATTATCATTAAACTATAACTAGTAGTTGGATACTAGTACTTTAGTAGTAGTTGAATAGTATAATTATATATTTATGATACACAGAAATTGTTGCAATTCTCATGTTTGCTGTTAATTTTTTATTTTAAATTATTTGCAATGATATAAGTTTTCAAAAATATTTTAAAGACAATTATAGCTAATTGATCTAAAATTTTAAATAGGTATGTTGATTATAAAATACAAATTAACTTAGTAAATAAATTCAAATTGGAAATAAAAATTTATTAAATCAAATTAGTATATAAATTTCAAAAAATGAAACTGATTTTTTTTCAATTCTTTTTAATTCTATTTGTATTACATTGTAAGTCTAATTAGTGTTTACTATGGAAATATATTACTAAAAATTAATAATAAATATTCAAATTATTAAATTAATATTAAATATATTTGTTACACTTGTAATTTTCAAAATAAAATGTACTCAAAACATTGATTGTAGGTTAAAGAAGTATCTCGAGTTGGAGGAAAACATCCTTATGAATTTATTAAGCGCAATTGTACTCGTTTATTGACCAATGAGCTAGCAGAAAAATATAGTTGGCTTGGAGCAAAACAAAAGCGAAAGTTTTGTCATTTAAAACTCGCTGACTTGTTAATTAGTAAGCGTCTAATATACATAATGCTATTTATTTGTATACTAATACAATTTTTCTTATCTAAATGATTAATCTTAATAAAACCACATGTATAATCAAAAAAGAAATTACTGATTACAAGATCCTGATTTTTATTACAGTTTCCGGTCAAGAGAGTAATTCCGAATATACTAAAAAAATTTTAGAAGAGGCGATCCAGAAATGGCTGCGAAGAGCCAAAGAAAGATTGAATGCTGAGAAGAAGAAGGAAGATAAATAAAGAATTGAACAAGAAAAAGAAGACGAATTTTGATATATTATTTACATATATATTATCTACATATGACACACATGATGTGTAATATTAACATTGTAATAGCGTTCAAAGTTTTAGTTTTAAGTTGTTAAAGTTAATTTGATAATACGTACGTATGTGATATTAATGTAACCATGTACTATATGTAACCATGTTCAAATATTTAATTTCTAGTTAAGATTTATTATAATGCGTAATATTGCGATATTTCTAGAAATGGAAAGTTTATTTTATAATACGTACGTATGTGATAATAATGTATATGTAACCATGTCTAAAGATTTATTTTTTAGTTGTTAAGATTTATTATAATGCGTAATATTACGATATTTCCAGAAACGAAAAGTTTATTTTATAATACGTATGTATGTGATACTAATATGTATATGTGACCATGTCCAAAGATTTAATTTTTAGTTGTTAAGATTTATTATAATGCGTAATATTGTGATATGTTCCAGAAATGGAAGATGATAATTCTGTGAGATATATATATGTATATATACAGGGTCTACCAAAAGTGTGGAAACCCCTAAATATCTCGGAAAATATACGTTTTACAGAAAAGTGTTTCCAACAAAAGTTGTAGGGTTTAAGAAGATCTATATACTGATTCCATCAGTTTGACCTTGGATGGCGTCGTCAAGGTTAGGTCAAGGTCACATTGACTTTTTTAAATGACACCCCCTACATTTGATTGCATATTCTTATAGCTTAATTCAAGAGCTTTCCAAAACACTATAATAATGTTCATTTTTATTAAGTACTTTGCGAGTTATGAGGGTTGAATGATAGAGTAGCGCCGGTATTAACATTATCCAAGGTGTACTACATGGAGGTTACTCGCTCGGATTTGCATCTGTTGTGTGTGTGATCCAGCTAACTAAGGCAAGATCGATTCCTCAACATATCCTCATATTTCGCTGAAGTCAAATTGCCAAAAAATTGCTCCATAAAACGTGTATGAAACGTCTCGTTAGTTCCTTCATTTACCGCTATGTGACGCACTACATGCAGTCTAACTCGCATTTAAAATTCAACTAAGAATGTATAAAGCTATCAAAGAACGAGCACCTTCTAACTTCAGCTTTGAGCAAGCAGAAATTAATTGTTAGCGTCCAAATACAACGTACGATTAATTAAAATTAAACGTTTTAAAAATGGCTGGCGACTTGTCGGAACGTGAAAGAATCACTATCCTCATGATGCGTGGATGGGGTGATAACGAAAGATCGTTCTCTGATGTCGTTCGATTATTTAATGACACGTATCCGAACCGTCGAATTAATAAGTCCACTGTGTTAAAAACAATAGAACGTTTTAGACAAACTGGTAGCGTAAGAAATCGCTCTAAGTCAGGAAGACCATTGTCTGCAACCAACGAAGAAAAACAACTTGATGTTCTGCAGACATTTATTGAAGATCCCAATTCTAGTGTTCAGAGAGTCGCTCAAACTCACGATATTGCTCCCATGTCGGTTTGGAGAATTTTAAAGAAGAACAAGTTCCATCCATA